CATTATTCAGTGTCCTTCATGTCCACAAATCATTTTGCATCCTTTAGATATCCTTTAGACCACCATCCTTTAGAAAGCAGTTTGGGGACAGAGATGGGCTTATTGCCTTCTTGGGAAAATGGTAGGGAGGGTTCAGGAATTGAGCATTGGTCTCAGACCTGGCTCAGCCACTTTCTCACTGTGCATCTTTGAGCAAGCTCTTTACCTCTCTGAGATTCAGCTTTGCTCTCTGTGGAATGGGAGCAGAGATGCCTGCACACAGCCCTGTGTGAGGATTAAAGGGCACAAGACAAGCAAAACATTAACATTAAGCACAGGACCTGGTAACAGACAGAATACTTGTCCAGTAAATAGCAGACTACTCCTCTCTCCCATAAGGAGCTCTGGTAGCGTAGTGCTTACGAATCGGACTGCGAACTGCAAAGTCAGCAGTTCAAAACTACCAGCTGTTCCGCGGGAGAAAGATGAGGTTTTCTGCTCCTGTAAAGATTTACAGCCTCAGAAACCCTGTACAGGGTCGCTACGAGTCGGAACTGACTCCACGGCACGTAACCACCAACCAAACACCACTCTTCTCTCCCATAGCCCCTCAGTCAGGGCTCCTCACAGGAGAGGGCCAATTAGTACGTCTGTATCTTCACAGATATTGTGCTTAGAAAGGAGATCATTCCAGGGATAATTATGAAATAATAAGGAAATTAATGCTCAGCCAAATTAGAAATGGGATTGATTTCTAAACTTCTATTAAATGTTATTTGCACACCATGGTGCCTTTGTACAATAAGCATTGGAATGCAAACCACAAGGTTGGTGGTTTGAACGCACCAGATGCTCTGCGGGAGAAAAATAAGGTTTTCTGCTTCCACAAAGATGCACAGCCTCGGAAATCCGATATAGGGTAGCTATGAGTTGGAACCAACTCAATGGCACTTAACAACACTTGTTCAGTGCAAACTAAACAGCAAACAAGCCATTTACATTCTAATTAGATCCACTCAAGTTCCATTTTTGAATGTACATGTGGATATTTTAAATATACATGTATTTTATGTCTGATACATATTTTGGTGGTGGTGGTTATGTGCCATGGAGTTGGTGTCGACTCTTAACGACCCTGTATGGGGTTTCCAAAACTAAATCTTTACGGGAACCGGAAGTCTCATCTTTCTCACGGGGAGCAGCTGGTAGATTCAAACAGTCTACCTTGCAGTTAGCAGCCCATCCCATAATCCACTACTCTACCAGAGGTCCTTATGTATTATAAATCAGTATATATTCAAATGTATAATATAAGTATATATGATATAAATCTATTTAGATGTATATGTTAATAAATATATCTAAATGTGTCCTTGTTTGCTACTTGCTGTTCAGTTGGCCCCAACACATACACAGTGGGACTGGTTCACTGTGATCCATAGAGTTTTTCATTGTCTGACTTTTGCAAGCTCTTCTGAAACCTATCCAGCACCATAGCAACACACAGCCTCCAATGAGAGATGAGGGTGGCTCACATTAGGCACATTGGCTGGGAATTTAATCAGGGTATCCCTACTGGACCACCACTACCCGTCATATATAAGTGTAATGTTGTTGTTGTTAAGTGCTGTCCAGATGGTTCTGACCCATAGCGACCCTATATGGAGATTCCAACGAGCGGCTGGTGAGCTTGAACCACCGACCTTGCAGTTCAAATGGCTTTGCAGTCTAGCACATTAACCCACAGCACCACACCAGGACTCCTATATAAGTGTAATGTTGTTGTTGTTGTTGTGTGCCATCGAGTCGGTTCCGACCCATAGCGACCCTGTATAGGGTTTCCGAGGGTGTAAATCTTTACGGGAGTAGAAAGCCTCATCTTTCTCCCGCGGAGCGGCTGGTAGTTTCGAACCGCTGACCTTAAGGTTCGCAGCCCGATTCGTAACCACTACGCTACCAGAGCTCCTTATATAAGTGTAATAAGTGTATATAAATACAAATATATGTTTAAATATAAGCATTTGAATTATGTATATATAAAACAATGTAATTCTTTTATATTCCTCTTTGTGTGTGTATGTGTGAGTTTCAGTGTTTATACGTGGTATTTTATTTCACTTTTTTTTAGCTTTTGGAATAGGAAGATAGCCACAAAAACCACATCCGTGACAGACTACCCCACTTAGTTAAACCATAATGAAGCACTTTCTCAAAAATCTTAAATGCGGTTTACAGAGAGCTTCAAGACATTAAGTTAATACTAGTTTGCTCAGCACTTCAAATTTTCCACTGATTTTTTTCAACTGACCTCTGTATCAACTACAAGGTTAATTTACATACAATATGCATAAGATTCCTCAACCCAGGGCATTTTCGAGACTGTGAGATATATAGCCTTTATGGAGGCAGGAATGACAAAGAAAACTCTGTAACTTTTTTCAGTCTTTTGAATGTGATGTTTTTAAAGAGCTGAAGCAATAGCATTCAAGAAGAGCACACTAGCCAACTGTGAAATTACAAATGAGCTCCTTCACCCAGGTTAAACAGAGGGTGGCAAGGTGCCCTTTCTGCCCAAGCCATACATAAGACTGTGCCCACACCATTCCATCAGACATGGTAGTTTGTATGATCAGCTCAATCCTTTGACGTAAACCATTAAAATGGATTTTGCAGAGTTGGGGTCAGTATGGCATCATTTGAATCTATCACGTCTTGGTACCGTTTGGGGCTTAAAAGACAGCATTTCGATTGGTTTCCAGTTCAGCTTATTTCTGTTGTCTATTGCCTCTGGCATTGCATGATAAGCACTGGATTGCAAAGTCGGTTTGAACCACAATGTCGGTGGTTCAAACCCAGTAGCCACTCCTTGAAAACCCTATACATGGTGGCTATGAGTCAAAACTGACTGGATTAAAAAAAAAACAAAAAACTGACTGGATAACACTTAACAACAACAACAACATTGTCTCTTAATAAACTACTGCAAAACTTGGTGGCTTTAAAAAGAGCAAACACTGATTTGCTCACAGCCCTGTAATTTGAGCATAGTGTTACTGGGTGATTGGCTGAGTCTGGAGGATGCAGAATGTCCTCCATCACACTGACATCTGGTGTTTTGTCTCAGGTGCTCAGAACAGCTGGAGAGATTTCTCCATACCCACAGGGCTCTTCTCATTCATAGGCTAGCCTGAGTTCCTGCACACCACACCTGCGTCCCATGCAGGTGAAAGTGGAAGCTACAGGGCCTCTGATGAATTGGTCCAGCATCTTTCTACTGTGTCCTCTTAGTCAAAGCAAGTTACATGACCAGGCCCATTCAAGGAGAAAGGAAATATGTACTGAGAAAAAAGAACTGTTAGGAACCTTTCGGTATATAGGAGGGGATAGGTGAAAATTAATAAAACTCACTGTGTGTTGCAGACAACACTCTATTAAATGAGTCCTAAGAAGGTCTTGTGTGGTGCTGTGGAGACCTGGTGTGGCACTTTAAGTTAATGCACCAGACTGCAAAGCCGTTTGAACTGCAAGGTCGGCGCTTCATACTCACTAGTGGCTCCTTGGAAACCCTAAGTCGCTATGGGTCGGAACTGACTCAACGGCACTTGACAAAAACAAGAAGGTCTTCCTCAAAATTTAAGTCTGGGCAAGCCATGGAAAAATGATGTAATGCCTGGGATTCTTAGTGCAAGTTATTGCCAACATATGCTTACACACAGATGCCATGGAGAAAAGTGGGAATCGGTAACATCCAGTTTGTTCTCAAAGGTGATTATGACACAATGACCCCATTATTGTGTCATAATGGGCAGCATTATACCCCAAATGGAGCTCTGGTAGCGTAGTGATTACAAATAGGGCTGTGAACCGCAAGGTCAGTAGTTTGAAACTACCAGCTGTTCCCCAGGAGGAAAAATGAGGCTTTCAGCTCCCGTAAAGATTTACAGCCTCGGAAACCCTGTACAGGGTCGCTATGAGTCAGAACCGACTCAACGGCACTTAACAACAACAACAACAGGCAGCATTACACCCCAAAGTACTGAACCAGCCTTGGAAATAAACTGGTTCAATGCCAGCACTTCAAGAAATGAGAGCAATTCCAACAAGCACAACCTTTACATTGTGTTTCATTTCCACAGGAAACCTGTTACTGTGTTTTCTGCAGGAAGGTACTTAGAATTCTAAAGTAAAATCAAATCTTTAAGACTAGGGGGTGGGGGTAGTGTAGGGGGCAGGCTTGCAGGGTATACCCTTTGGTTGGTTGATGGTGCATGGAGGGGATTGTAACCATGGCAGTGATACGATATACGATAGAATGAATGTAAAACTAATGTTCTCCCATGTTTATCATATAATTCACAATAAAACACTAAAAAAAAAAAAAAAAAAAAATCAAATCTTTAGGTTTATATTCTGAGAAGCCTTGTTTGTTTGTTTGTTTCTCTCCTGTGGTAAAACCACCCAAAGTCAAGAGGGCAGATGAAGGGGAAGAGACAGGAAGTTGGGACATGTGGCTGGAACTCACAGCAAATTGGGTAGGGCCATGTGCCAGGCTGTGTCAAGCTGAACCAATGAATTGATACAATCTAAAAACTTCCTCTAGGTCTCTGGGCAGTGCTTACCTTTTCAGCTGCTAACCAAAAGTCTGGAAGTTCAAACCAAACTTTTTTTTTTTTTTTTTTTTTTTGCTTACTCTCCCCTCCTATATACCGGAAGGTTCCAAACAGTTCCTTCTTCTCTGTACATATTTCCTTTCCCCTTGAATGGGCCTGGCCTTGTAACTTGCTTTGACCAACAGGACACAGCAGAAAGATGCTGGACCAATTCATCAGAGGCCCTGCTCATAGAGGTACCTCAAAAGAAAAGCCTCACTATCTATTTCTGAAAGTCTTAAGGAGCATGATTCTACTTAGACACATATGAGGTCACCGTGAGTCACTCAGCTTAATGGCAAGTGGTTTAAGGAAGCTCCTCCAAGTTCTTCTGGCACCGTATCCACAACCTGACTGTGTTTTTCTTCACAGCCACGGGACCCGATGTGCAGGAGAGGTGTCTGCTGCAGCCAACAACAATATCTGTGGGGTCGGGGTGGCATACAATTCCAAGGTCGCAGGTAAGCTGTCCCAGGACAAACTACAGGTGCCATTCTGGGAAACCAGACCCAGGGGGTCATCTTTGTTGGTCTCCAGGCAAACCAGAAACCAGCAAAAAACCCCATTGGAGCAGAATTGCTGGTAGTGTTATATTAGCAAGAGAGATTTTTTTAAAAAATCTCTTTCTACACTGCTTGCTAAGAGGTTTGCTTGCTCTGACTGCTAAATTGCACAGAAGATTACACCTGGAAGATTTGGCAATGTAAGTAGACTCGGCTTTGCCCCTCAGGTTTCAGCTCACTTTACTTGTGTACAACCAAAATGCTGGCATTAAAATGTCAGGAGCCACTATTAGCTCAGGAGAAAGCATCTCACTGTGCTAATATTTTATATGGTGTGGCGCTGCAGGGTAAGCACTGGACTGCTCACCTAAAGGTTGGTGGTTCAAACCCACCAGTCACTCCTTGGAAACCCTATATAGGGTCGCTATGAGTCAGAATGATTCGAGGGCACTTCACAACAATATTTGATATATCAAGTGTCTACCTGCTGTGGGGAGTTCTGCTGTGGTAATATAGGATAAGAACTAGACCAAAAGATCAGTTTGAACCACAAGGCCAGCGCTCCTTGAAAACCCTATACAGGGTCAATATGAGTCATCATGGTCTCAATGGCAGTTAACAACAGCATCCACCTGCAGTAGAATCTCAGGGGAGGCAGGATCTCTACTCACCAGTAGAACTGGAGGCCACTAAGACACAGAAGGCATTTCAAAGTAGCTGGGGTTTTTTAACAAAGGGATCTGTAGTACGACTACTGACAAAAGTTCGGAGTCTGAAGCAGCTCTTAGCTTTCTGGAAATTCATTGGGAGTCCTTTCGCGATCTGCATCATTTTTTTTCTAACTCCTCTCTCATTATTTGCCCACTGAAAACCTATGAGCTGCTCACCAAATGGGCCTAATCCCCCTGCTTTCTTAGTTTGGATCCCTTACAAGACAAAGGATTTGCATGCCAGCAGTTGATTGGGAATCTGGTCCCTGGAAGATTAAGTGAAGGAATAGGGAAGGAAGACAATGATGGGAGGGAAGCCAGCAGTGTGTTGATGAGCTGGGTTACTCATGCAAACAACTGGGACTTGATCTAGGAGACGGTGGGAAGACCCATCAGAAATCTCCCATGCAAAGGCCAAGAGGCTAGGGAGTTTACCCACCAACTCCCATCCTTTGTTGGTTTGGGGTGCCTCCTGAATCAGTAACGCCTAGTGCAGTCAGTCTGTGAGCAGAAATCCTTAGACCAGAGGAGTCCCCAAACGAACAAACATGGTGCCTCTGTTTAGGTGGCTAGAATAGGGGTGGGATCACTACCCTTGTCCCACTGCTGACTGCCCTCCAAGGCCAGCTCCAGCGTCTCAAAGACAATAGACACAGCCTCATTTTCACAGCAAGCCTCTGAGGTTCAGAAACTAAGGAACAGCCCATTTTTGATGCATTGCCCAGTCAGAGAGTTTGAACAGGGGATTCCCTCTCTGCCTCGTTCACTGCCTTAGCCCCAGCCCTGTCCTTCAGTAATCACACATAGATATCAGCCGTTTTCATACACTCCTTTATAGAGCTTTCTGACCTAGGGAGTCCAGAGCACCACCTGGTGGCCAGTTGAGATCATTGCAGGTCTCTGGAGATCCAGGTTAGAGGTTACAGAGACTGATCTGAAACAGGCTAAAGTGCTGTGGAATATTAGTCCAGAAAGATAAAGAAAAGTGAAGATTAGGTTATAAAATGAGCTATGTAAACAGAAAAGGGAGCAAAAAACTTTGATAATCTCTTCATGTTCTTTTTAGTCTATTAGAGTTCCTCTTCTTTCAATTAAAGAGCGCTGGTAGCACTGAGAGATAAGTACTGAACTGCTAATCACAAGGTCCGCAGTTCAGACCCATCAGCCACTTCATGGAAGAAAGATGAGGCTTTCTGATCCCTCAAAGATTTACAGCCTCAGAAACTCTATACAGTGTCACTGAGTCTGAACTTACTCAAAGGCACCTACCAACACTTTTCAATTGGGGTTTCTTTTTCTTGTTCATTTACAGACTTTATTCACATACCCTACCTTCACATGCCCTGTTAGTTTGAGTTAGTGCTAATGTCTCTTGATGCAGAAAGCATCAAGAGAAGATGGAAGGAATACACAGAGTCACTGTACCAAAAGGAAATGGTTAATGTTCAATTCTTTCAAGAGGTAGCATATGATCAAGAGCCAATGATACTGAAGGAGGATGTCCAAGGTGCATTGAAGGAATTGGCAAAGAACAAGGCACCAGGAATTGATGGAATAAAAATTGAAATATTTCAGACAGTGAGGTGGCACAGGAGGCACTCACTCATCTCTGCCAAGAAATTTGGAAGACAACTATCTGGCTGACTGATAGGAAGAGATCCATATTTGTGCCCATTCCAAAGAGAGGTGACACAATGGAATATCAGATAATCTCTTTGATATCTAATACAAGTAAAGTTTTGCTAAAAGTAATACAGAAGAGAGAACAAACAAGATGGAGGATCAGGTAGAAGTGCAGTAAGGAGCTCCACCAACAACAATACAGAATACCCGACCAAGCAGCCTCAGGGGATGGTCCCAGAACTCTGAACCACATATAAAGGAATATGTAGAAGGTTGGAAGGCTTACAGCTGGGGGAATTTGTGGCAGAAGCAAGAAATCCATTGCTTTCTAATTCGAGATATTCAGCTGCTCAAGGAACTGCCATCTTGGGTGAGACCAAGCCGGGGGAGGATCAGAGTGGCCACAGATGCCTGGTAGAACTGCAGAGATAAAGGTGTGGACATTCTTCTCTTTTGGTAGCTGTTCATTGGTCCCTTGCTGTCTACGCACCCCCATTCGGGTGACTATAGGGGTGCCTGAGCTAGTGGGCACCCAGCCCCACCCTCAAAGGGATGTACTACACATGCACACAGATCTCCTTGAAATTTAAAGAGACAGTTTCCAATTAAAACCAAACAGCCAGAGCCGGCCCTGAACTGCTTACAATTAGAAAAAAGGCCTTAACGGGGATTGTGGAGTGGGACAAGCAGACAAAAAGGAAACAGGCAAATCCTAAATTACTTCAAAATGACCAACATTGGCATCTTGAAATTTCTCAAGAAGAAGATTGAAAAGGGAAGCCCATTTCCTGATCACATCTACCTCGAGGCAATCAGAAAGAATAAAAAAATACCAAAATACATATCCATCTGAGTATTAAGGCCACAGATAACCCCTGACGATGCCCAAAAAACAGAGGCAGATGACCATATCTGCACATGTCCAGAAATGAGATAAAGTGACTGAGGCAAATGAGCTGGAAGTAGACCTAAACTCCATACTGGAAGATGGGCAGGCTTTGGAAATGCCTGAGAAGAAATTCAGAAAAATGATCAGAAAATGTATCAAAACACTATACAATGGAGTTAACAAAAATAAGGAAGAAGTCAGGAAGGCGCTACAGGAACAATCAAATAAGATAGATAGAGCACTGGAAACAATTAAAAATCTACAGAAAGAGGTCCAAATGATTAATAATAGAATATCAGAAATGGACAATACACTGAAAGGGCAAAGGATTAGAATTGAAGAGATAGAAGCTAGAGCTAGTGAGCTAGAAGATAAATCTCTCAACACTACTAAGATAGAAGAACAAACATGAAAAAGAATAAAGAAATCTGAAGAAGGCCTAAGATTCATGTTGGATAACATGAAGAGGAATAACATAAGAATTATTGGCATTCCAGAACAGGAACAATCACACAA